TTGTTTCTTGTGTCAATCATCTATGCCTGTCCATCATTGTTTCTTGTGTCAATCATCTATGTCTGTCCATCATTGTTTCTTGTGTCAATCATCTATGTCTGTCCATCATTGTTTCTTGTGTCAATCATCTATGTCTGTCCATCATTGCTTCTTGTGTCAATCATCTATGTCTGTCCATCATTGTTTCTTGTGTCAATCATCTATGTCTGTCCATCATTGTTTCTTATGTCAATCATCTATGTCTGTCCATCATAGTTTCTTGTGTCTATCATCTATGTCTGTCCATCATTGTTTCTTGTGTCAATCATCTATGTCTGTCCATCATTGTTTCTTGTGTCTATCATCTATGTCTGTCCATCATTGTTTCTTGTGTCAATCATCTATGTCTGTCCATCATTGTTTCTTGTGTCTATCATCTATGTCTGTCCATCATTGTTTCTTGTGTCAATCATCTATGTCTGTCCATCATTGTTTCTTGTGTCAATCATCTATGTCTGTCCATCATTGCTACTTGTGTCAATCATCTATGTCTGTCCATCATTGTTTCTTGTGTCAATCATCTATGTCTGTCCATCATTGTTTCTTATGTCAATCATCTATGTCTGTCCATCATAGTTTCTTGTGTCTATCATCTATGTCTGTCCATCATTGTTTCTTGTGTCAATCATCTATGTCTGTCCATCATTGTTTCTTGTGTCTATCATCTATGTCTGTCCATCATTGTTTCTTATGTCAATCATCTATGTCTGTCCATCATAGTTTCTTGTGTCTATCATCTATGTCTGTCCATCATTGTTTCTTGTGTCAATCATCTATGTCTGTCCATCATTGTTTCTTGTGTCTATCATCTATGTCTGTCCATCATTGTTTCTTATGTCAATCATCTATGTCTGTCCATCATAGTTTCTTGTGTCTATCATCTATGTCTGTCCATCATTGTTTCTTGTGTCAATCATCTATGTCTGTCCATCATTGTTTCTTGTGTCTATCATCTATGTCTGTCCATCATTGTTTCTTGTGTCTATCATCTATGTCTGTCCATCGTTGTTTCTTGTGTCTATCATCTATGTCTGTCCATCATTGTTTCTTGTGTCAATCATCTATGTCTGTCCATCATTGTTTCTTGTGTCTATCATATATGTCTGTCCATCATTGTTTCTTGTGTCAATCATCTATGTCTGTCCATCATTGCTTCTTGTGTCTATCATCTATGTCTGTCCATCATTGTTTCTTGTGTCTATCATCTATGTCTGTCCATCATTGTTTCTTGTGTCAATCATCTATGTCTGTCCATCATTGTTTCTTGTGTCAATCATATGTGTGCCTATCACTCTTTTATGTGTCAACCATATATGTGTGTGCATCACTGCTTCATGTGTCGATCATCTTTGTGTCCATCACTGCTTCATGTATCAATCACCTGTGTCTTCACTGCTTCATGTGTCAATCATCTGTGTGTGTCCATCACAGGTTCTTGTGTCAATCATCTGTGTTTCCGTCACTGTTTCATGTGTCAATCATCTGTGTGTCCATCACTGCTTCATTTGTCAATCATCCGTGTGTGTCCATCACTGCTTCTTGTGTTAATCATCTATGTTCCATCACAGCTCCTTGTGTCAATCATCTGTGTGTCCATCACAGCTTCTTGTGTCAATTATCTGTGTGTCCATCACTGCTTCTTGTGTCAATCATCTATGTGTCCATCACTGTTTCATGTGTCAATCATCCGTGTGTGTCCATCACTGTACATGTTTCAAACATCTTCTTATGTCTATCAGTACATCTGCTTCTTTATGGAAACATCTCATTCTGTCTATAAGTGCTTTATATGTCAATCATTTTCAGGCCATCACTCCATGATGTGTCAATCATATCTCCATGTCCATCATTGCTACACGTGTCAATCATTTTTCTGTGCATAACTGCTTCATGTGTCAATCATATATGTTTATATGTTTATATCATAGCTTCATGTGTGAAACGGGGGCACGGGTGGCCCAGTCGTCTAAGGCGGCGCGATTCGCTGTGCAGAGTTGCGTCCCTTGGGCACGCCAGAAACCTATGATTGTGGGTTCGAATCCCGGTTCGCCCCGATTATGTTTCTAGGTTTGTCAGCACCATACCCGTGCTCGTGGGTTTCAAGGAAGTGGTAAACGTCTAAGACCTGCATCACTTCGGGCTTTCCTCCCACATTAAGCTGACACGCCGTGATATAACTGGAATACTGTTAAAAGCGGCGTTAAACCCAACTCACTCACTCACTCATGTGTGAAACTGATCTTTACATGACGGTACACAATCAGGACCTGACTCGGCACTACGGTCAACTAACGAGATATTACAAACACCGATGCCTATTCGTCACGTAAGGATAGTCTAACGATCTGAAAGACGAGGGTCAATAAAAAACTTCCAAAAAGATGATTATTGGAGAAATGAATCAGATAAAACAGACTTGAGAAGACTGCAAACATTTGCCAGACAATGAAAGCTGAGACGATATGCAAATACACTGAAAGAGTCCAGATCATTTGCTCCTTAGTCATGTGAGGGTCTGATCGACACAGCGTAGCTTCGAGGCTGCACTGGGATCCCCAAGACAAGTGTACCTTAATGTGTGCATAAGACAAGTCCTTCTCTTCTTCTGACGGTCAAAGAGATCCATTCAAAACGGAAGCATTAAAATATAGGAGAATAAGGATGCATCTCTCTAGAAATTGATTCCTATTTGCTAGCACCTTCCGCACCGAATGGTCCGGCATATGCCTTAACGAAAGCCATATATCACGTATCTACGAGGGCTGCAGATTGCGATTAACAGAACTGATTCTTTGGTTTATCCAAATAGCCATTAGAAATAATACATCAATCAGGATAGAGTGGATAGTGGAAGGTCTCTATTCCGATCATAGTCGTGGTCAGCGTTATCATTTTGTGGACATTTCCCACCAGAATAATGACACTGTCGCACTTGTAGGAGACTTCCTTGATTTACTTGGATATCTAACTCCATTTACCATCATCGGGGAACCATAAACATCACAAGGAGAAAACATCACAATTGATTTTGTAGGCTCTTCTCGTTAGATTGTTGCAGTGCTGTCAGCGACACAGAATATAAAATGTAGCAATTAACGTGATAAATGTATTGTTTTCATGGCAATGGGCATTCAATTTGCCATTGAGCCGAGACCGCGATCCGCTTAGTCTGGGAAGGAATAGCTTTGCGCATGCAAACTGCTGCTTTCGCGTCCCAACTCCGGCTCACCCATTATCACACACTGCACCTGATATAGGCAATTACGCGTACTCATTTTTCATGTACAGGGATGGAGGAATCAGTCTTTGAAGCGTCGTGGACATGCTGAGTAGATCTGGTTTGTGTAAACTAGCTCTTTGCTCCTGTACCAGCTCGCCAATAACTGCCTGCCACTCACAGGACCTTCAGTGTGAAATTTCACATAACTCAAAAGGAGTCATGAATATTTGTGAAAGCTTTGGGGGAGTAAGGTCTTCTTTAATGCTAGGTGCCGACTGCAATGAGAAGGCGTACCTGCCGAAAATAGCCTACATCTGATCTGGATGGAACCTATCGAATGACCGCCTGTGATTAGCTGCTTGTAAAAGTTTGAATAATGAAGTACCTAGCAGAGGCAAACGTGTAATTTCTCCTGTCAGTGGCTTTGTCCGTGAGGGGAGAAGGTCATTGGTTACCGAGATCTGGAACCTGTTGATGTCCTCTGACAGGATGATGGCTGACCTGAGGAATAAGCGTCACTCTCAATATCTTCATGGCCAGTTAACGCGGGTACCTAATGGTTGAGGAGTTTAAATAATATACGGGATTTATACTGCTGTGATTCTTGGGGTATGTTAATGAACCTGGATGAATGGTGTCTGTTCAGTGTTATCATTCATGGTAACATGTTCCAGAGCCTGAAGGGGGCGCGGGTGGCCCAGTCGTCCCAGGCGCCGCGATTCGCTGTGCAGAGTTGCGCCTCTTGGGCACGCCAGAAACCTATGATTGTGGGTTCGAATCCCGGTTCGCCCCGATTATGTTTCTAGGTTTATCAGCACCATACCCGTGCTCGTGGGTTTCACCGAAGTGGTAAACGTCTGAGAACTGCATCACTTCGGGCTTTCCTCCCACATCAAGCTGACACGCCGTCAAACCCAACTCACTCACCCACTCCAGAGCCTGATTATTCGGGTTACACTATGTGAACGTTAAACATTTTTAGACATGGCTATATATTGATGCACGGTCGACAGATACCGATAGAATATGATGTAACTATTTGGACATAAGGTTATTGCACAAAAACCCTCATGGGGCAGAATACAAAATTTCTACAAACTACAATAAACACACAATAATATATGACACTTGATTATGAATAGAAATAAGAAAACAGAGCATTATGTACAATGCAAAATATAATCATGAATTTAAGTTTTGGAAATGTTAGGTGGTTCAGCGCCTGCCATAGGGCTGCTTTTCGATATTAGGGGATACATCGTTTTGATTGGTTAACTGCATGTGGACGTGTCACAGTGGATAACGAATATATAGATGTAAAACGCTAAATGCTGACATGAGTACGTCCTACAAATAGGTGTGATTTACATTTCTCGACATCCAATGTTATCCGGAAAACGAGTTCTTTCCCTTTATTTTTCTATTGCCGATGGATGCTTGAAGTTGTTTTTCTCGTGAACAACTTTCTGAAGTCGGTGTTTCACTGATTACCAATGATACGTTTGGTCTTGACCACGCATGTTCATGCTTACGTAACTGGTATCTCAGATAATAATGTTTTAGAGGACATTACAAACCTCTTAAGTGGAACTGGAAAGGAAAAATGAACAAAAAATGTTTCATAACAAAAATAGAGTAGACACAACATGTTTTGGTGTCCACACGATGCTGTTGAAGTGTAGCGTCAGGACATTAGCAGTTTCGTTATACATGTGGATTGTTTTCTTCTTACTGGCACCAGACATTCCACTCCCTTCCCAGCATGAACCTTTCAACACTAGCAGTGAGTGATGGAGCAGATTGCTGAGAAGATTGGACCCACTGCTTAGACTATCTCTCCAGGATACCATGGCTCCGATATGTGTAAGAAAGATTATGACAAGATTCGAAAGTATATGTTGACAGTTGTGACATGTTATTGTGAAACTAACGGATTCATGTTCGTTCATGACAAGCCACTCAGCTTTTAAACCTTGTTTTGCAATGGAGCTTTTCTATTTTTGCTTTTGCTAAAATGCAGACTTATCCTGTGTGACCTAGCTGATAAAAGGTACATGAAATACAGGATGTTTTCGTCACATGTACTTTAAATATTTGCTAATTTAACGTATGATTCAATCTGTTTTCACGTAACCGTGCCTTGAAAAGTTTTCTCAGCCCTGTGAGCAACATCGTTAATATCGCCCCCAGCTGTTGTGCAACACAAGGGTGTCGTATAGATCCACGATATAATCTCGTCTATGCAGCTGGATTATCGCTGCCATGACTGAAGCCGCTAGAGAAGTCAAACTTAAAGACCTATCTATGCGCAACCATACCCTCTTGTGTCTGGAGTTTCTATTCTGATTAAATCCCCTGCCTCTTCAGAATACGTGCATCTTATTGCACAGGCAACTTTTTGAAAGTTCAAAGAAATTATTTCAGCGTTATCAATGTTTTTGCTATGTAAATGACAGGTATTATGCGTGACATGATCTGTATGTTCAAAGCTTTAAGTGGAGAGGCCCTTGACGATCTCAACCTGCCTCTGAATTTAAAATGAAGAACAGCTTTTGACATCTTTTCTCTCAGGCGGTTCTTTGATCTCGAATCAGTTTGACAGCTTTCTGACGTGAATGGCGGGCATTTTAAGGAGGAGGACCACCTTTTGCCCCCTTAAGGGCCTCGGTGTAACATGAAAGAACAAATCTAATTCAAGATGATGTTGCCAAGTGACTGAAGCGGCGTCCGGACTGTGAAACGCGCTTGATGCATGGTAATATTGACCAGTTTAAAAAATTCGGTTTATTCAAGCAGGGAAACCATGTTTGCTCTGCGAAAAACGAAACAGTGGTCAAAGAGAGAGTATCTAAATGTGGACTATTACACTGACTGGTTTGTCTTCATGCATTTTGTGCAAACTAGATTTAAGGAAGAGATGTGGCCTTCAGTTACAGTACATTGCAATTTGCAAATTTAGTTTATTACTCGCATGGTTTAATTTCATTTATTGTTTCAAGATTCATGATATTTTGTTGTACAAAACACCCACTAGGGACAGGGTACAAATGTTATTTCTACATAAGACATATTTAACAAAACTCAGTATAGTAGGACTCATATATTTGTACCCAGTAGATAATATAAGACTAATAACAGCATTTATAGGAATAATGTAACCGATTATGAATTAATGGAGGCAGATCTTCTGTTGAACATGTAAGTATTTTTAGAAAAATTATTAGCAGTGGCATGGCTAGAAGTTAGTGTCCTTGCCAGAGAAATGACTTCGTCATTTTAGTTGTTAAGTTTGTTTGTTGTTTAACGCCGCACTCCGCAACATTCCAGCTATATGAAGGCGGTCTGTAAATAATCGAGTCTGAACCAGACAATCCAGTAATTGAAAGCATGAACATCGATCTACGAAAATGGGATACGATGACATGGATCAACCAAGTCAGCGAGCCTGACCACCCGATCCCGTTAGTCGCCTATTACGACAAGCATAATCGCCTTTTTGACAAGCATTGGTTACTGAAGACCTATTCTACCCCGGATCTTCGCGTTAAGATTGATTTGTCTGCAACAGTAATTTTCTTTCAGGAATGTATAAGTAAAAATGCAGAAGAAAGAAAATTTCATCATCCTAATATTTGTTGTCAGAGGTGACAAAACCTGTGTTCAGCAGGGGTATTGTATCTGGGGGGTCGTCTAAGGCGCCGCGATTCGCTGTGCAGAGTTGCGTCCCTTGGGTACGCCAGAAAACCTATGATTGTGGGTTCGAATCCCGGTTCGCCCCGATTATGTTTCTAGGTTTGTCAGCACCATACCCGTGCTTCTGGGTTTCACCGAAGTGGTAAACGTCTGAGACCTGCATCACTTCGGGCTTTCCTCCCACATTAAGCTGACACGCCGTGATATAACTGGAATACTGTTAAAAGCGGCGTTAAACCAAACTCACTCACTCACTCTTATGGTGTTTGAAAGAAACCATGTTGGGTAGAACTATCGACTGGTTTGTTCCAGATCACATAAGCCCACTGTGAAGATTACTATGATCATATCTAAAACGAACTGGATTTTATTTGAGATAAACACATCCTTAAGGTGTCAAGTGTTCTCGCGAAGAAGCGACGGCATAGGTGTGTCAGGGTTATCCTAGAGATATTATTCACTTATCGGAAAACTGTCTGCTTCACTTTAGGTCAGTCAGGCACAGTCGACGACAATCGCTTCGCTAAATTGCGCCCCTTAGTCGTGTCAGGATGCGATGGCAGTGGACTCAAATCAACAATTCGTATTGACTATGATTGTTGGTTTGGGTGCACCATATTCGTGCTTGTAGATCTGACGTGAAGACAATCGTAAACACTGTTCAAAACGCAGAGAACTGAACTCACTGTGGGTAGGCCAAGCACATCTGGTTGTATGAACATTTTAGTGTGCACCGGATTCAAGCAACGCCACGCCGGGCCAAACCAATAACAGGTTGCGCACATTTTTTCAATGTTCGGAATCGACCCCTGGTCATCGGTTTGTCGAACGAACGCGTTAACCGCTAAGCCACCTATCTCCCTCGTCACAACACACATGAACGACTGTTCTGATACATTAATCTGGCCGATATTCAGGTACAGCTATTTATTATTTTCTATTAAAGTTTTCCAAGAGTGGTCACGTAAAGTGTATATAAATCATTATCAAATTGGACACACGTAATCAAACAGCACCTTGGTATGATATATGTCCAATATGATATTTCACAGAGAAGGACAATAACCATATATCAAGTTACTGGATATTAATAAAAAGTTATACAATACCTGGGTGCCTCAATCTGGTGAGGGATGACAGATTAAGTGTGACACCCAATCACTTCTGTGAAGACAGCCATTTTGAAACTAGGTCATCATTCCTGGAGATATTTTTAAGAAACGATTGAAGGCAAACAGAAGCCCTCGTTCACTTGTGTCTTAAACGACTTTTGTCAAAAGCTGCCTTCATGTTTAATATGGAAAATTCATTTCAACCTAGACATTTTGATATGTTGGAAACAATTTTCAATATTAGGTTTTGTGAATACACATTTTCTATGCATGATTCGGTAGTATCTTTGCTGAGATAAAACATCTACTGTGTTTCAAGCAGCATTGTAGAAATAAAGGAGATAAATCAGATCTGTATACCATTGTTCTGCATGAAACATTGATCTACTTTGATGAGCTACACAAGCTAAGGTCTAAAGAAGCACTCGGTCTGTCAATATCAGTCTATCATCTCCAGCCGACTTGCAAATCAAACCGAAGAGGACCAGAAGACCACTGGTCACTCGTTGGGCCGAAGACATGTTCTCATATGTTACAAAAACTCATTTGTTGGGAATATGTCAAAGTAATTGATCATGAGTTTTCAAACGATACCTCTAAGAACTTGTGAAAATGATTTGGAAGACCTTCTGACTCTCTAGTCCGGGAAACTAGAAGTTTTGGAGACAACTAATAAGGTCCCACTATCATAAAACTCCCATTTGAATATGTTGCTTGAGAATGTAGCCCTATAACGGTAGATAATTTCCCAGGAGTGAGATTCCTTCATTTAAAGAGACGGCACCGTGCAGGGTATTTATGCCGTCATTTGATTAAAGACTTGCGTCCATTTCTTATGGCTCTGCAGGGGCAGATCGGCCATTTTGATGAATCGTTATTTATTGAAGCTGGGGTCAGTTGGGGAGAGCAATAGTGACCCATCACGCTTCTAAATGAGGAAACTCCAGACTCCATTTATTACAAACCTTCCTATACTGGCGTCTTTTTGTGATTTATGATGTCATCACGTTTACATTATTTAGGTGTAAAGTAATTTGCCAAAATAATACTCCGATACCATGATAAGACGATTTATGTTGACACGAAGTTGTTCGCCTTTATGGGTCCTTAAACACAAATTAAAAATAATGTTAAGTGTCAATTCAAAAAGCGTTTTAACATATGTTTCTTATCTGTACATAAAATATAGTTTGTTTTTTTTCATAGGAGGCAATGATAGACATACTTAGTGTGTATTCATAACAGCGACAGTTGGTATACTTAATTCCTTTCGCTATCTCCCCAAGTTTTTTTTGTATTCGCTTCCATAGATCGAGCCCAGAGATGATACGATTGTAATACATTTTAACATTTAAGTGGAGTACACGTGTCCCACAAGGAAACTCCCTTGCAATATGTAATGTGATATATTTGTTAGTTGGCAATTGTAACTATTCCAGATATTTTAAGTTCCCTACCAAACTCGCTTCAACTCTCATATATCAATAAGTGTATCAGATAGTCGTAAAACTATTGAGTAGAGGTCAACAAACAAACCCAAATAACAGGATTAGTCCACGGGAGAAAGTGATGTTTCTGTCTGTTTGTTTACTGATTGGACTCCACTGTGTCGTCATTGGAAACAGGGAGAATTGCAGGTTCCAGAATATTTTTAAAAAGCAGGGACGGACGGTCCTGATAATGTTCCAAATTATTTTTAAAAAACCAGTGATTGTCCTGTTTAATCGCTGTCCGGTTTGAACAAAAGTTTCAACTCAATTAACACTTTTATATTCCTCTGATCTATCCGAAAGTAAGGCTGGATTCTGATACAGCAGCAAACAATTAAACATGACAAAAGATGCATCATGATTTCTACCTCGAGCCTCCTAAAGTGTAGCCGCCTTCCCGAGTATTGATGACGAGTGCGACTGGCGGCGTACCACACTCATCCTCCTGACAGCTGGATGAAGAGTGTTTACTGGGAAGAACTTACACATCTTATGTCTGTAAAGGTCCTTTCACCGCGGCTTCAACTTCAAAGGTTTGTCTAATGAAGAGAATTATCCCAGATAAATTCTCAACTTGTATTTTTTCCGTCCGAGCTTACAGTTACATGGATGTAAATTCTCCAGGAATCTAAGTACAGGGTGTTTGGAGGGTTG